TCCCCTTGAAGCTCCACAGTAAATGGTCCAGCGTGACTAGGCCCATCTGGGTCCATGATGTCCAGGAGGGCAGGAAAAGGGTGACTGTTGCATAGACTGACTTTCCTCTGCTTGATCACAGGACGATGATCGTTCACATCTAGTAAATGCACAACCAGAGTTCCTGTGCCTGTCGCTGGAACGTTATCTAGAGGAGAGGAGTCATTGTTCAGTGAGCTATAATCAGTAAAGGGGGAATGAACACTGTGACAGGATTAGGTAAGATATAGGACAGCTTTACCATCATCGTAAGCCAAAATGAGGACTGTGTATTTGCTGTCTTTGACATAGAGGGATTCTCTGTCCATGCTGCTTTTAACGTTGACCGATCCTGTGTTAACATCAGCGCTCAGCCACCTGGAAGTGTCGTTGTAGAGTTTATATCTGAAAGCAGGAGACACAACCACGATGAGAACTTCAACAGAACCGTGCACAACCATACAGACGTGAACATTTTTTTGGTTTTTCACCTAACAGTCTGTTTCCTGGCTGCGTCTGGGTCTTTTGCTCTGAGGTCCACCACAGAATTTCCTACTTTCGCGTCCTCTGAGATGCTAACGTGCACCTCTGCTGGACTGAAGACGGGAGGTTCGTTCACGTCGATGACTTTTACGGTGACTGTGGCTGTCGACGTAGACACCGGTCCAGAAAACGGCGCCTCGTTAGTCACCACCACCAGCAGAGTAAAGGCAGGAATGTGCTCAAAGTCCAGCTCCTTGGAAGTGACAGAGAGAAAGAAAAAAAATGTGGAAGACTGTGTGTGTTGAGTAAAACTACAGTCGTGAATCCGACCCTTAACAGTCAGAAACCTTGCTATCTGACAGGTTTTTAGGAAAAACGAACAGAACCCATGAAAAATAGCCTTAACATACCGACAGCCTTGGATTCTGACTCCAACGTGACATTTTATGTCACCAATCAGGATAACATCGTATTATCTGACTGAACAATCAGACAGATTGGCTACGTTCACACTGCAGGACTTCATGCTCAATTCGGATTTTTTGTGAGATCCAATTTTTTTGTTCACATTTCCAGTTAAATGCGACTTGTATGTGATCTGCTGTGTGAACTTTGTATGACCCAAAAGTGTCCCGCATGCATAGAAGAGGACATGACGACTTCATATGCAGTGGGTGTACTCAGTGTTTACAGAAGTAAACACGGATGGTAGTGGTGGAGCGTATCTTGCCCATCGCTCCCCCGCCGCTGCCACCGATGGTGGAAACAGAACTGTGACCACTAACTAAACCATCATCAGTAGTCAAGTACTGCCTGTGTGTTCCGGCCACTTCCACCCCGGGGGTGCGCTCCAACGGGGTGGAGGTGGCCGGAATGTGCACAATCACACTGGTCAATTAGACGTGAAATCCAGTGATGCGTAGTGTTCGAACAACACACTAGTTATTATAACAACTGTAAACAATAAATATTAACAACAAATGAGCCTTCCAGCATCAAGCCCTCCTTGTATCTCGACGTCCGTCTTGACAATCCGACAGCCTTGCTATCATGAAAACTACATGAAAGAAGGTTTTACATTTCGGGTCAGATTGTCGAGTCACGGCTGTACTTCTTGTTAATAAAAACTGACAGGTGTTTTCTAACCTTTGCTGTCCTGATGATTCCCTCCATTTTATTAGGGCCTGTAGTGATGTTGAACTCTCCCCCTTTGTTGCCTGCGATTATTGAGTATTTCGTGTTGGCGTTTGGAGATCCCAGCTCATCCTCGTCCGTGACCCTGAGTCTTGCTACCTCCACTCCAACCTCACTCTCAGGGACTGATGTGGATATCTGAGGAAGAGCAGGAAAATCTGCTTTGTGAACTTACAGATTAAACTTATTATCATGAAGTATTTGGGCATTTCCTTCACTCACAGATGTCACATAGAATTGTGGAGCGTTATCGTTGCTGTCAGCAATGACAATAATAACGGTGCAGGTAGCTGTCAAACCCTCTCCTTCCATATCAGCAGCTTGTACGATCAGGTTGTACTCTGGGTGAGTCTGAAACAAGAAAGTGAGTTATAATGGAGGGTTTAAAACCTTGGAAAGAGAAGAGCAGTGTGGTAACATTACCTCTCTGTCCAGTCCACCTGCCCTCAGGCTGATCATTCCACTCACTGGATTGATGCCAAACATAACGTCTTTGGGAATTTGCGGCGTCTGAGATCGTATCCTATACCTGATCACAGCGTTGTTTGTGTTTGGATCGTCCTTATCCACTGCTGTTACCTTTACAATGGAATCACCTGTTGACGTAAACAAGATCAAGCCGACTGTCAGGACCTAACGTGCACATTTTAGTACTTAAAGTATAGCTTGCTGAGTCTTCATCTCACCAACATCGGCGCTTTCGCTCACTCTGCCAACAACAGGGTTCTGAATGAAAGCTGGAGCGTTGTCGTTCTGGTCAATGATGTTGATGATCAGCTCCATGGGCTCTTCTGCCTTTGCTCCTTCATTCAGCGCATGAGCCCACAGCTGGAACACACAGCACGTACAGCCATCCCATAAAGCAGTGATCTCCAACAACTCTGGTCCTCGTGAGCTACTGTCCTGCAGGTTTTAGACGTTTCCGTGCTGCAACACACCTGACTCAGATGAATGGATCTCCAACAGCTTGTTGTCCAGTTCGACACAAGTCTGTTAATAATCCATTCATTTGAGTCAGGTGTGTTGCAGTACGGAAACGTCTAAAACCTGCAGGACAGTAGCTCACGAGGACCAGAGTTGTTGGAGATCCCTGCCATAACGTATCAGCAGAGTATCAGTGAACTTTCATGTGGTTCACAAGGATACTTCATTAAATGTTGGATAAACTAGACACAAACACAGACAAAAACAATGTGATTATGCTTTGCTCACAATGTATTTGTCCTTTTTCTCCCTGTCCAGCGGCTGGGTCACATACATCCCCCCAAATCGCCGATCGACGGTAAAAACACCCTCTGGGGGCTGATCTGCCCCCGGTCCGCTGATCTTGTAGGTTATGGCCACCTTTTCGTCATAACTGGACTTAAGCTAAATCACAAAAATTAAAATGTATTAGTCAAGGTGGCTTTAGTCGACGCAAATGCAATCAAAGCTATTTAATTTGCTAAATACTGCTCCAGTTCACCTTCACCATAAATTTGGGGTATGGACCCCTGTCGTTTTCTGGAAAGTTAATTGCAGGAATAACCCACTCCCTCTTCATGCGTCTCAAGCTGCCAGACGTGGTTGGAAACTCAACGATGGGGACAGAGTCAGTCGTTCTGTTCTGTTTGAATTAAGGAAAAGTGTCAAGTCAGATACAGTGTTCAGTCACAACCAGTGGCGGAAAATGATTTCTAAATTTACCTCAAGATCGTTTCTTTTTTGCGTTTCATTACTTGGGCAGTTGTTTAAATATTGTGGTTGGATCCCTGCAGCAGCTACAGATGGCAAACACTGAGAAGAAAACATTATTTGAAGAAACCATCCCATTCAGACATTTTGTTAAGCACTCTAATGTACTGTATATCATTTAAAATAATACAGTAAATCAGTGTAGAAAGGTGGACATGTTTCATATCCAGGTAGTAAAAACTTCATGTGCACCCTCATGCACACAGGTAGACGTGGAAATCTGATCAAAAGTCATTACCACATGGAGAGGGGGTTAAAAAAAACAAACAAGAAAACATTGTGAATATACAGCTACAGTTCAAGAAGGCTGGACAAAGGAGCTGATGCCAAAAAAAAACAGACTTAATAGTTGAACACTTACCTGGACTTGGCACAGCAAGAAGAGCACCTTCAAAGACCTGCAGTTCCCCATCATCTCCTCAAGTGTGAAGCTCTACAGATCCGTCCTGGACCAATTGAGCTTTGTTGTAACGGCGCACTGAGGCATTTACTCTCCCTCCTTAAGGAGCGTGTCTTGTCTCTGGCGTTAGCGTAGTAATTGATCCCGTTCCAATCCAACGTGTTGTCGGTTTCCTTAAACTCGCTCCCGCTGATGCTGAGTCGCCGTTTGATTTTTATCAGCGAAGTGAAAAACAAAACCGTTGGAGGCGACTACAGGCAGCGTCAGTCATGCAGGTGAGTGTTGATGCAGGTGAGGCTTTGCCCTCTGACCTTTCAAAAACTGAGAGGTTTGTATGACATTTATTCACTAACTCTGAAATTTCAAAAAACAAAAAGGAAACAGCAGGAAGATTGCTTTGAACACCTTTCGTTAAAATATATACCTCTGCTGTGCATTTGTTGGCAGGATACCCAGACCACTGGGGATGAACTTTTTCTCTGAGCACACCCGTGTTTACAAAACAAGAATCACATCGGCTCCCACGACACTCGACAAATAGCACATTAGCACAGTTTATTTTGAAAACTTCCACTGACTTCCCAGGTTTGGACTTCAAACTCCACACAAAATGTTAAGTTGCCCTTTGAAATCCATTACTTTTTTAAAAAAACTTTCAATATTTCTGTCAGTAAACACAAAGAAAACTAAATAATTTCTCAGTTTAATGTGAAACATCTGCAACAACGAATGGAATTTAAATACATCCAACCAAAATTACATTAAATAGAGGATCTTGATACTTCACACACAAGTAAACGGAGGGAAAAAAGGCAAAGATGTGCAAGAAAAATAGGAACAAAAGTGAAGACAAACAACTAATTGAGTGTGTGTATGTTCAGTCTGTACACTTGTATGCACTTCAGTTCTACTGTTGACAAGCAGCCTGAAAAACACACCACGAACACGCTGCAGGACGACAACTTTTTGTTCACAAAACCTGTATTTTTGACCTGATAAATGCTACAGCCAACATGTAACCCGTGTTAAGTCTGGTAAACGGTGTAGTTATTATAAATAGTAACTGTAGACAATACAACATAGAAAACCTTCCCTCTCCGGTCATCAATTTAACCTCCAAAACTTCCTCTCTGTGTATCAACTTTACATATTAACAAGTCTTTCCATAAAACGAATCTCTTCTTGCCTTAAAGTGGCTCAGATGTAACTCTACACTTCCTCCAGAATGCACAGAGGTCCATGTCGGCCTGACCTCTCTCTCTCCACTCAACCCTCCCCCACTCACAGCAGCTCCACATCAATAACTAACTACACTTGTGTTTAAACACTACCAAACTATTCTACGCTACACAATAGAAAGTTAGAACACTGGAGAAGGATTTTGAAGACATGAAAAGTCTCAGCCTACATATAAAAAGAATTTTAGGTTTGTTGCGCATGGAATGTCAAAAGTCTAAATCTGTGTTGTTTTTGTGGGACTGCTATTGGTACAATAGAGATTAAAATGCTCAGCCATGAAAGTGACTTCCTCATGACATGTCTCCTAGCATAAAAAATCACCATGTGCACACATAAGCAAGGAAATAAAATAGATTTTCACCAGAGGGGGTCTTTAAATATACGTGTAACAGGTAGGGCTGGTCCGAACAGCTGTTCTCCAGATATTCGGCCCAATTAATGACGAATATCCTGAATGTTTTGGGAGGATATTCGAGGATCAAAATCGATATCTCGATCCCAGCACAGCAAACGAATTGTTGGCTATTTGGGTCCAGCCCTAGTAACAGGATGTAATGTTTGTCAAGTAGTTGCTGACTGTGATCTGAACAGAGTTGACTGTAATGTATGTCTCCGTCCAGCTTTGATTGCAAAAATAAATAAATAAAAACATCTGTTAGCTGCGGTGAGGTCTGGCCAGGTCGGAGTTCAGATACACCACAGTAGCTGTGATATCGTCTCTGTACATTCGAGCAAGGTCCTCTGGCAAAGCCAGCATTGAGGCCAGTCTCTCCTGGCACAGCTCTCCATACTCCCCAGTGCCAAGAGCATGTCTGATAAGGTGTGTGGCAGCGTTGGTGTCCAAAGCGGGGGAGGCGCGGGCCCGACGTTTCAGCAGGAGTTCATGCATCTGACCCAGTTTTAGCTGCCTCTCAGACGGGGACACAGGAGCCTGGAGAAAAGAAAGGACGGTCATGAAAACATTTTTTCAGAGCAAATTTACGGAACAAAAACCCATTAATGTGTTTTACGTGGAAACTGTGTGCAGTGAATGAAGGGAATAGCAACACACGTCACTTCTACTATCCACAAACCTGTAAGTGAATTCCACTCAGGTGCTCTCCAATAAGTCGTACCGCCTCCTCACTCCCCAGTTCATCCCACAGTCCGTCGGTGCCCAGGATCAGGAAGCGGTCCTGAGGTCTCAGCTTGTGATAGGTTATATCTGGTGCCACATCCAGGTAGGGTGGTGTCAGATAGTTTGGCGGAGTGTACTGATACAAGTTGAGAGAGTCAAGGTCCACTCCAGATTCCAGACTGGATAAAATGCTCTGCTGCAACTCCTGGCTCCATTTGAATCTCACATCGCCAAATGCACGCAGGGGCATCAGAACCTGAGAGAAGAATGTAAGATCAAACCAGTGACTTACTCACTTAATCTAAAGGTTTTAGAGCGCCTGCTACAAAAACTCACCCCTAGAAGTCTGTCGTCTGTGATCACCGTGTCTTTCTCTGAGGGTGGATGCTGGGCTTTGATTCGTTCCACCTCTTCCTGGTTCTCCGAGTTGTGGTCTTGGGAAAGAGGTAAAGCGCTCCATGAGCCATCCTCATTTTGTACCCCTAACACCGCTCGGCAGTCACCAGCATTCGCCACGTAGATCCCATCTGTGCCGACATGAGCCACACAGGCGGTGCACCCGGCAAATGCAACCTGGAACCATGATGATGATGAATCTGTATCAGCACCGTGTGACCTTAAACTCAATGAAGCAGCAAAAACTGCACAATCTCATTACCTGGATGGCTGTACTTTTCATCAGGTCATTGGAAAGAGGGACTTGAGCCTCCAAGGAGATATCAGCGTCGAGCCGCTTGAAAGCGCAATCCAGAGCATCTTTAGGACTAAAACAGAAGATTGTTAAGCTTTGTGTCCTAGCATGTCTTGTTTTGTTGGCTTACGTGTTTTAAAAGGCCCATCTAGGGAAGAGTTCTGCAAATTAGCTTCGACTACAAGGCGTTGGTATGTGGCAGTGTTTCATCCTGTTTACTTATCCTTAAAAAATAAGCCTAAAAAAAATAAATAAAATAAAACAATAATGGAGGGAAGTTAAAGGAAAACCAGTCAGTTGTGTGTACAAGCATAAACATAGCTATACGGCAAAGCCCCGGAGTATTTAGACAGTGACAGAATTTTCATAATTTTGCCTCTTGGTACCACCACAGTGGATCTAAAATGAAGTTATCAAGATGTGATTGAAGTGTAAACGCTCAGCTTTAATTCAAAGGGTTCAACATAAATACTGCATTGAGTGTTAACAGCCACTTTCTACATATTACATTAATCTCAATATTTTTGCTGAAGTTCTTAAAAGTTCCATCTTGATTACTTCATTTCAGATCTATTCAAATCCACAGTGGTGCAGAAGCAACACTAAAAGAAAAAATTGTGTCACTGTCCAAAGACCTGCATATGGACATACTTCTGCACATAGAACTGTACACGCATAGTACCCATGATTAATGTGTCAAGAGACTAAAAACTTTCTGAGGTATTCATTTCCTTTCATTGTCAATACATTAAGCCCACCAACTTTGACAGCCTTCATCAATGAGAAATTTCACTGTCACTTTATCACCGTATCCCAATTCCACGATCACAGTGTCGCTACACAGCTCACATTCAAAGACCTGCTTGTTCCTCACAGGTGTGCTGAGTTTTACAGTTTTTCCCCAGACTGGAAAATCTTGCCTAAGGCCAGTCAAAGCTTTCACATTTACATAGTTTTTTTTTAATACATTTATGTGAATAAGCAAAAACACACACATAAAAAGAAATGCATTGCTTTTAAAAACAACAACAACATATTTAAATGAATTCTTCCAATTTGACAGAATTTAACAAGAGATGCACGCGTGTTCCTACCTCATGCCCTCGCCGTGTTCCTCACCGTCCAGTAAATCTTGCCAGAAGACGCGGAGGTGGTCAGTGTACAGGGATGCAGATTCACGATAATTAAAGTCTGCGTGATGTTTATACCACTGCAAGATGGGAGGAACAGGTCTGCCATGCTCCATGCATTTCTCAAGCTCCTCCAGGATGTTTGTTGGCATCATTGCAACTGCTGTGTAATACAGCAGCCGCTCGCTGACAGCCTGAGCACACGCCCATCCCCCATGGCCATCAAACACTCCAAAGAGCATGCCCTTTGACTAGAAAGGGAAAAAATGCATTCAGTTTTACAAATACAGTGAGACTGATGTACAAACGGAGGGTAGTAGATGTGTACCTGCAAGCAGGTGGCTGCACTGCGACGATCCTCATTAGGAGTGTTTGCAGCGAGCTGGTTACTCTCAAACTTTCTCACAGCACTGAGTCCCCTCCCATCAAACTCTGGCACATTAACAGTCTGAAACAGAGATGCACACACACGCACACTGAGTTATTCATAGATGTGCGCAAACTGATCTGTCAGTGTTTTTTTAAAAAAACAAAACAGCATTTTAATGCCCACTTCTATCAGAAAAACAGTCTTCTCTGTTTTAAAATACAACATGGTAGTTGTCTTCCTTATCCAGAGACTGTCTCTGCGCCACTCATTACCTGCTCATTGGTTCTCAGAATACTGTTGATCTGGACTCGGCTCAGCTGGAAGTCTAGATCCTGACGAGTGGAGAGGTATCGGCCTCTTGGAGACCAGTTTCCAGCTTCCTCTCCAGTGCAGCACAACTGGTCTGATCTGAAGAGACTCCAGGATGAGCAGTGACACCGGTGGACTGGTTGAGGCTGAGAGGAAGGAAGTGCTAGAAGTGGGGCATACTGAATGACCCAAAAAAAGAGTGATGGCAACATTAAAAAAAAAAAAGTGACAAAACGTAAAAGAAAATTTCTGAATATAACAATATAATCGTCTAAGTTAAGCAAGAAGTCAGTCAGAACACAAACCTGGAATGGGGCTGCAGAATAAAATGCCAACGTGTAGCTTGAAGCTCTTTGAAGGATGCTCGCGTACACACGTCCATACATCGCTAATGCACCGCTGCTGGTTGGATTTTGCGCACCTTAATCACAGTAATATCGATGCCAAGCTGAAAGGGAAGTTAATACATTATAGCATGTACACGTACGTATGAGATATGTGTGGTGACACCGCTACAGTTCTGCTACACATGACATTCAGGGGGCTACCGGAAATAGTAGCGACCCAGTATGAGTTTGGCAGCTTTAAATTAATACAATATTCGACTTGCTCGAAGCTAATACCGAGCAGCATGCATATACGTATGCCGTTTCTGTGTGTTACAGAAACAAGCCTGTCACATATCACTGACCTGACGATACATAACACGTAAAGTTAGCTTGCTAGCTGGCTAGCCCGGCTACGGTTCTGTTAACTGATGAGCGACTAACGTTTACGTTAGAACATAACCTACATTGAATACAATCATACAGAGGTGGCAAATATTTCAAATAAATTGAAGAAACGACTTAATTAGACACTTACAAACTTAGTAAAAGTACGAATGAATCAACGTCGGTCGATAGGCACCTACTCCAAAACATGAGAGCAAAAGCGGGGACATGTGACACCTACGTCAGACGCACAGTTGTAGTCATAAACTGTGTGGTTGTAGTTTTTGGGGGGTTGATGTTTTTTTTTTTTTGCTGTCCACCTTTGTTGCAGATAGCATTTGGAAGAAGAAAGAAACGCGTAAGAAAAGAAGGGACTAATCATCATCAGCTTTCTATGTAGTTTTAAAAAATAAAAAGTTCTTTTTATTTTTTTTGAAATAATTTTAGAGCTATGGAAATGACTGTGTAACACATTTTTCTGCTCAATTTCTGCCCAGACACACATGATGAATGACTTCTTAAAAATAGATTGTGCCTTTCACAATGACAAACCCAAGACATGGGTGCAGGGCTAGAGTGCTAGGTCTAAATAAAAAAAATAATACAGTAAAATTAAATAAAAATCTGATTAAAACACCGAAGAAAAACAAACACTATGGCGCTAGAGAAATCAGAGAAAATCTGACATTAGTGATCCATATTGTTCTTTCTCGGCAAACGAGCTAAAGCCAGCAAACTTAAAACCATTAAAAATTAAATTATATTTCCCCTAATTTTGAAATTGAGGTTGAGATAGTTTCAATCAGTCTATCTTCAAACTTAATATTTCAAGTTTGCTGCTAGCCTGAGTACGTGCTTGTTTCTATGGTAACACTGAGTGTCGAAGTCCCGTCACTATTCCAGTAGCGATGATTCCTGGAGGTTAATCGTAGAAGTTAATGCTAATGCTACTATTTTATCGCGATAACCAACTATTTTCTTTGTTCACTGACAAGTGAGGAGTACTGAGGAAGTTAGTTTGGACATGGAAACAAATTTGTGCTTTAAGAAACTTGCCGCTTTACTCGAAGTTTAATATTTAAATTTACGTAAGTTAGCTCGGTTAGCTATAGCTAGCTAGCGCAATTTTCCAAAAGTAGCATTTAGCATTAGCAGTGAATGACGTTGGCAGTGGATGACTGGTTAGACGAGGGAAGTAGAAGTTGATATTCTTTTCATATTTAGCTAGCCAGACACTTGTGGCATCTGACAATGGCTTTTACACACTGAGTCAACAGGGGCATGGATAAGACAGAGGTTTGCGTCAACAACCGTAATAGTAAGTGTCATAGTCGCTGACTTCACCGTTTTAATGAAGTATTTATAGACGTGCGGATGTAACGTTATACATCTATAAAATATCCGTTTCTTCCAGCCATTAAGAGAGATCTCAGTTTGCTGCTGGCGTGTCTGAAGTTTCAGATGAAATGTCCCAACCTGCAGAAACAAGCTCTTCTCACCATCCATTCAATCTGTGAAAAGAGAGGTAAGAATGAACCACCAATGTAAGATCAATTTTTTGGCTGCATCTGTCTAATGAATGCATTCTAATTACTGAGTTCAGTTTACATGTTCAGCATAACACCTTGCCTATCCACTGTCTTTAAATGTTTCTTATTTCAGAGGATAATGTGGACCTGTTTCGACAATTGGGAGGTGTGGCATTTGTGTATAGCCTCTACAAATCCAGTATTGTTCATTCAGATGTTAAGGAGACTGCACTCTTTACTCTTGGCACCCTGGCAGAAGCTAATGGTAGGTACATATGTGAGATAGTTGCTGGGTCTCAGCTGAGGGGCACATCTTTAGAAAAATGCCGTAGCAAGAAGTTGTGTCATTTGCTGCACTCAAAACCTGGGGCGAATCTGCTTGTTAAGGAAAAACAAGCAAAAGTGGGGTATGTGGGTGTTAGACCTGGACCCTATGGCTAATGAAGACCACTTTGTCACCCCCATTTAGTTATGTGGGCATCAAAGGCTGTGGTTCTGAACTGAGACACAGCATTAGTGTATTTTATTTGTGTGTACACTGAGCATATATTTTGTGTGCTAATCATTTTTAAGTAAATTACAGTTTAACATGTTGATAATATACTATTTATCTTTCTTTCTGGTAGTGTACTGCAAGAATTCTCTGTGCAGGAAGGAGACATTTCTAGACCTTGCTGGGTGTTTGATGAAAGAAGACTTCACGCTGGCACAGAAGAGAGTTTCTGTCTATTTGCTGTTTGTGTTGGTAGCCAACAACAGTAAGATCAAGGCTCCTCGACTGACAGAATGAGTCAAAGTTACAGGATTGGCCGTCACATTTATGTGCATGTTTTTTCTTTCTCTTTATATGACCTTTTCTTTGGTTTAGTTTCAAGCTCATGAAAGCTATTTGATACCTGTGGAGCTGAGTGTAGCTGAGAAAGTTTTTTTTTTATTGACTTCTAAGAGTGTGAAGATCATGCTTTTGTTGTGAATACCTTTGTTGCCCTCATGTGTATGTGTGCTGTTGCAGAATTGGGACAGACTTTAGCCCAAACAACTGGCTGCCTTGATATTCTGCTGGACCGCTTTAGGTACTTTGCAATGCTAAATTCTCTGTAGTCTTGTGGTTATGCACCATCCTCACCAAGTTAGCTATACAGATTTTAGTTTGGGAAAAAAAAACAGTCATATGAGCAAAAAAAGTTTAAAAAAAAATCTATATTTTTGCAGGACTACTTTCCCCCTCTCCACCACAGGGGCTACCATGAAATTAGCTGGTGCTACTCAAACATACCAACTTTGGGCGTCTGTGTCAAGTGCTCTCTGTGGATGTGTCAACAATCCTCAGAATGGTAATGTTATCTGTGTATCTGTGTCTTGTACTGAGCAGTTACTATGTAAAACAATCCAGATGCAGTTTTTACTCTGTTGCATCTTTCTTTGTTTTGTGTTGCAGAGGAGAGTCAGCGTATTTGTGTGGCAGCTTTTCCCATAATGAAAGTCTGGCTTCAGCAGATTTCTCTGTCCCGCACTGACATTTTTCAGCCCATTTGCTCCTTCATAGCAATGACCGTTGCCAACAACCGTAAGTTAAAGAGGCAGAATAGTTTGTGCTAAAACAGTGATTTTTATTTTTAGGTAATATGACAAATGTTCACGACTTCTTTGTTTTTGCAGCGTTTGTTCAGGAGAACTTTTTTGCCTCTGGGGGTTTGGAGACTCTCACTCTTGCACTAGTTCGTCTCGCTTCTACTGCAGATACAAGCTTATTGTCTTGCCAGCTTTCTGTCATTATATCCAAGACTCTGTCAGCTTGCATAACTGACAACTGTGCGTACTGCTCTCAAAGACAAATGCATACATCTTAACAGTTTGCTTTAACAACCTTAAAGACACTTCCCTTCACTGTTCACAATCTGTATTTTTTTGTAGCTGCTCTGGCTTCAGGTCTGGCTCAGTATGGTGTAGTGTCCCACCTTCTCTCTTTGCTGGCCAGTCCCCACCTGGACCCTCAGGACAGACTCCCTGTTTTACTAACCCTGGGCCACCTGACTGAGACCTCTGGTGAGACTGCACAATAGTACACTATTTTTCTGTGTCACATTTTCTCTGAGTGTCTTCCAATTTACATTTTAAGCACATAGACTCTCACTTAGTGCAGCGGTCTTCCTCCTCTGAAGATTGCAACCCACTGGTCATGTATTTTTCACTACTGTGTGCTTATATCTGTCTGTAGGGGAGCACCAGTCCCAGCTGATCCAGTGTGGAGGCCTGCCCCTTATCATAACGTTACTCACAGAAGACACATGCGAGGAGGTTCGGAAGGCTGCCACATTTGTATTGCAGGCTTGCAAACAGGCCAGTAAGTCGAAACATTATCGCTATTATTCTGTATGTTTTCACATTTCAGAGACTCTATGACATTGCTGTTTAGCGCTGATAGTTGCCATGTTGCCACCCATGCTTGTTATTGGCAAAATAGCTTAAAAATACAAAATATATTATAAATGGATTTTGAAACATTAAATCATTTAAATGCGCTGTCTTGCTCTTTCATATTAAAGAAAAAATTCACATACCATAGTAATGATCAAACCAAAAGTAAACAGGCTCAGTATAACACTGTGTTCTTAAGGCAGTAAAGATCAGGTGTTATTTCTTCTCTAACCAATACTGTGTTAAAAAAGGTATGTCACAGCATTGTTAACATTTCTTTCACTTCATTAAATAATAGTTAAGTGGAGAGAATGAGTGATTGAAATCTACAATAAGGAGCTTTCATAATTACCTCTTTGTCTGGTCTGTAAAGCCATGTGCTTAGGAGCGGATGGTCCGATAGCAAAACAGGTTGAAAACTTGAAACCTTTTACAAACATGGAAGGTTTCCGACACTCAGCCAGAGATTTGCTGCGCAGGATTGACCTGCTAGAGATGAGACAGCTGAAGGTTAGACATGCATTCGCACACGTTGTTGCAATCTGACCAGCGTGTATCGAGGTGATTCATGATGTGTGCATATGCTCATGTTTAGGATGTTGGCGAAGAGCAGGAAGACATAAATCCACCAACTTTACCTGAGGAGCAAGGCCAAGCATCTGTGCCCCCCGCCTTACCTCTAGCACTGCAACGGAAGGAGGGGATTAAAACCATTCCCACATATAAGCACGCACAGGCAGGTGGTAACAGCTGTGTTCAACTTGAAACTGTCCAAGACACGGGTGAGAATGAGACTAACAGTGAATTGAAGAGAATTACCAGCAGCACAAGTGTCTGGAAAGAGAAGACTAAAACCAGCGGAGTGGGTGTGTGGTGTTCAGTGTGCAACGGTACAGGAGCCTTAATGTCTTCTCATGTACAGTCACTAGAGAGAGGCAGTGAGCCACATCCAGCAAACAGGTCAGTAGAGCTGCTCTGTGTTGATGAGTTATTTGAAAAAACTTGTGTAAAGACATGATTGATAACCATTCTTTCTGTTTTTGTTGAGTCACTTGTTTAAGCCCCCATTACCAGTGAGGCAAACAAAACCACAAGAGATAAGATGGACTGATGGTAAGAACCACCCTCATGCCTTTTGACTACTTGGTTTTATTGTTAGTTTTCAGTAGACATGTTGTTACTAGCATGATTTTTCAAGTAATGTGTGTTTATGTTTAGAGCTACAGGACAGTGAGATGAGTAAGGCGGGCCGAGCCATTGTGGGGGAACAGTCTGTCTCTCATAGCCGGTGTGCAGGTAGGAGAATATAAAGGTGGCCCTCAGTGAAATGCTCTCTATGTTGTATTATCTACTGTGTGTTGAGAGTTCAAATAAGTGCATTGTATCAGATTGCATTTGCTCTATTTTATTTATTACAAAGAAGTTATGTTTTTTTTTTTATTTGAAGAATAGTGCAAGGTTCAGTGCTGCAGAGGTTTTGTACTTGTAGGTTGGGGTGACAGTTTAGGTCCTGAGATTCTCAGTCACTTATTTTCCCTTTCAAATAATTTTTCTAAGGTGATCTTGACAGTGTAGGTCCAGGCCTATATAGTCCTGGGTCAGTGTAGAATGCCTTCTACATGTACAGGCTTTCTTGGGACTTCTTATTAAGGCCATTTAAATATGCATCCTTGTTATTATACTTTTGAACTTTAAGGAATCATTCAGATGCATCAATGGAAACACTGCATTTCCACAAGTTGTTATTAAGTTAAGTCCGTGTATCTCTGTTCTTTATGTCCTGTAGGTTGTGTGTTACCATTTGAGGAGGTGACCAGTCGCACTTTTGCGACCCTCCAAAGCTCTTGCCCCCACAGCTGTGACATGCACAAAGCTCTCCAAGAGGCCACAGAGCAATTCAGGATACGTCACTGCAACCTTTACTTGAGGAAAGAACATCATGACAACACTGTCGAGCGCACAGACCCAGAGAGGGCAGAGCCACAGAGATGCTCTGAGAACTGGAAAGGTAAGAGGCCCTAGATTTATATTTGCACACAGAATCCATCATACCAGCAGGTGTAGTTCTTGTCACGCATTCTGATTGATCAAGGAGTACATTTCACCCACTCTAAAAGTTCCTGTAAAGCAGGACATGATGATAGAATTGATTTTAGGGATGTACAATTACGCAACTTTAAGTATAAATCCAGAAAATGCAGTTAGCAAATTGCAAAGGCTGAAAGTCAGGATATGTGTTATATCATGCGTTTGAGCCAGGATGGGAACTCTTGTATAAGTGGTTTACTAAATTCATGCTGTCCACCTTGTATGACAGTCATGCTTTTGATGGTATCACATATGTGCCATCACATGTTTTAAATCTGTTACACACAGAATATTGAACCGAAGCTGGACTCAAAAGAAAAATAAATTGCAAATCAAATTGCAATTGCAGTATCAGTCAGATACATCGATAAGCCCTAATGGATTAGTTTGCTAAATAGAGCATTTTTGTTTCGTGTTATTTATTTTCCACAACTGGAGAATTCTACCTAAACTCGATAGATGTTTTATGAGTCAGAAAAATCAGAGCCTGAGTCTAATATGAGGCCACTCACTCAAAACAGCCAATTTATCACCCGATAAGGACAGATAATCAATCAAGTAAAAGCAACATCAAAGAAAAGGCCTAAAGCTACCATGAGGTTTACTCCTCACTGTGTTGTCTGAGGTGTTATTTAACTCAGTACTACATGTTGATACAGCTACTACGTGTGCCCTTTGAATATTTTCTCAACATTAGTAACAGTATCGGGTTTCTTTGTATAGCCTGACGGCTGATTGACATGATGTCCTACTCAGTTTGCGACAGCCTTGGTTTGTAAGTTTTATATGAAAGGGCTGATTGACAAGGTTTTACACCATAGAGGGCTTCATATCACGTGCTCCGTATCGAAGTTTAATGTAGAACAGACAAAAATGTTCCTCATGCTGAGCACTATGGGTGCAATTCTTTACACTTTGATACACAATCTCATTGGGTAGACACATCACTAGCATCACTGGCCTTCCCATTTCTACATCTGGATTATCTGTCTCAAGAGCGTCCCGAGTCTGTACTGTCCCAGTCCTCTGCTAGTTCAGCAGTCACTCCTTTGCTAGTCTTTACCTTTGTTTACCTTTTGCTAAACCGTTTTCCATAATCAACCTCTAGGTTCCAAATTAGCACAAAAATATTAAATTAATTGTATAAATTTCCTTGAAACGTAGTGCTATCTTCTATATTTGCACCCAACACTGCTGTATTTCTTTGTGGGTGCTCACAATTAAAAGGCATCTATTTGTGTGTCCAACTGAGTTTTGTTGTAATTTTCTAACCGTACTTGTGTGCTTAAGTTCTGCATTTTCTGACCCCAATCATTATAATTTGGTGAGGATAGCATTGACTAATCTACGACTGCAACATGGACTGAATAGTACTGCAATTGTCAGGAAATATACAGATGTTGGGACATGGGTGTGGGCAACATTTCAGACTTTGTCTGTAATGCGCATTATGTCATCAGTGCACTGAAATATGTGTTACTCATGCTTTCATTGCTTAACAGTTTGTATTTGTAAACTATTTGTAGACTAATAGTCGTTTTGGAACTTAACTGAGCTTTAGCCCTGTTATCGTGGAACAAACAGTTTTATTGTCCTTGTCTATTACTTCATAACTGTTACTTTAATGGGCTAAATAGGAAACACACAGTCACAGTATTTAACTACTGATATAAAATGTTTGACCTTTGAGAGCAGGAAACGCCAAGAGCTTCCTGCCAGAACACCTCTCAAAGAAGTACAATGGTATAAATTATATAGCAAATATTTCTTTTAGTTTATTTAACCTTTATTTTGCCAGATAAGTTCGTTGAGCCCTGGCTCTCATTTTCAGTAACGACCTGGTCAAGAGGCGGCATACAAACAACAGGAAGAACAAAAACAGATTACATGTACAGCAAATCACACGATATTAAAAAAACAAATTATGCAGAGACTTGAGACTTGTAAAACAGAGAGGCTACAACAGGTGCAGTGGCCTCCAGCTGATTTTTTAAAAAAGAGAGCGTGAGGTGAGTTTTAAGGATTGTTAGGGATATATTTAACACACCAATGTCTAAAAGCACAGTATGGAAAGAATCTAACTCGATTCAACAGAATAACAATGACTTTAAAAATACGATTTTGTGAATCTAAATTAAATCAAACACAGTTAAACAAAAAATAATGCACAAATACAATAAGAAAAAACAGGGCTTAGCCATTGACGTAGCTGCACTTTATCTGGGTCAAGGGAACCCACTGTTGTGCTCTCAGAAGCTGCAGTTTAAACTCCACTTTTGGTTTGGTATGAACCTGGTTGCTGTGTCCTGTAGAAATCTCCTAAACGTCTCCTGAGATTACTTTTCTAAGATTTATCTTAAACCTGTGTCAGACAGGATTTAACTGAGGTTTAAGTTCATAAAATTCACTGCATGACTGAGTTGCACAACTCCAATAATATCTTTGCTTTCTAAAATATTACAGTTTTAGCATGGGTGCTTTTTCGAAGGCAACACTATAAAATGGCAAAGTTATACTATTAGAATTAGAGGTGTCACTTCTCCATCAGTCAGTTACAACGATATGGACAGCAATGTAGCTCCCAGCAATACTGTAGTAGCTCAATAACACAGACAACATGATGATAATGATGATAATTACTGGTGGCAAACGGTGAGACACAAGAGGCTGATGTTCTCTGACACACCTGTGCTGGGCAGCTATTGATAAATCAAACAGAGCATGAGTCCCAACGTGTCTTCTTAATCCTTTAAACCAAACCTGTCTGATACAACTAAACTCAAAGTCAAGACATGACGCAAGAAGTCTGTCCAGTCAACAAGTTGTTCCTGAAAGCTAAACAAATAATCTGAATACATGCAGGTTGTTACCTGTTATTGTGACCTGCAGATGTAGCATACATGTATAATATTCTATCAGTGTGTAACTTAGATTTCTTTATAGGTATCACTTTGACTCCACTGCACAGAAGAGCTAAGAAGGATATATCTACTGGTATGAAATAATACAGACATCCACACCAACACATCATTTACTGCTATTTTACATATTTGCCATATTCAGCAGCATCGATCCCGTCATTCCTTTCAGGTCCAGCTTTGGCACCCCTAAAAAGACGGCATCTTCCTGGAGATAGATTGGCAATATCACATATCGGTATTTTAAGTAGATTGCTTTAAGTGTGTGTGTGTGAATGTTATGATTGAGAGTCTGTGGTAGGAGCTGTCTTCTGCAATGTGTTCCTGGCAGCAGACAAACCAAAGAGCAGAAGGAATGTTGAACTGCAGCCAGTGTTCTCACAGTGCAGGCCAGAGCTGGTTCAGAGCTGCACAGCTGTATTAAGCTGTTTCACACTCTGTATAACACAGTGTGTGTGTGTGTGTGTGTGAGAGAGAGAGACAGAGAGAGAGGGGGGGGAGGAGAGAGAGAGAGAAAGATATTGAAATAGTCTATCCTGATGCTTATGACAGTGACATGGTCGTGAAAGAGGAGCGGCTTTGACATTATGATTTAGTATCCTCTGTGCTTACGTTACATTTGCCGTACTGTATATTGAAATGATATGTTGATTTATTCTGTGAATAGTTTTTCCATGCATCTCCCTTTCCTCTTGGTTTTTGCCAGTTCATCTCATCTCGGTTAGACGCGCTGTAGCTCAAGAGTTGCTGTGGTGTTGCAATGCAGAGGCACCGTCGTACAGTGCAGTCTTTCACTGCTGTCATGCTGAGATTTACTGTTTCTTCTTACCTCTTAGCCAAATGCTTTTTCCAATGCTCACTTTGCGAGAGTCAATAGTTTTTTTTTTTTCTTCCACTGCACAGTCCACATTTACAGCATGTTCAGCTGTTTTTCCACTGTTCTCTTCTTCCCGTTATACATTTTCTATCCTAACTCTTTTCCCTTTCTTCTTTTTTCTGTCATCAGCCATCTCAGGGCAGCTGTATTAAGTGATTTGATAAGACATTGTCTCTCTGGATGTTAAGTCCAGTTAATATGTTGTTGAAACAGAATGAGTTGTAAAACCTATTCAAACTCAAACTGTTTAATGTTTCAAATACAGAGAGAAGAAGCAGGAGTAAGAGCGGACATAAAGCTCTTGATGATCAGCCGAAGATTAATACAGACCACTGTTCCACTGTAAGAGTCTGAAAGAATGTTTTCTCTGAAAAATGTGTTTATACGTGCCTTGCCAAGTTTTCCAAAATCATTTAATGCCATGACTACAGTGCATGCTGCAGTGCATTAAAGCTGTAAAAACGTTAAATATACAGTTAGGAATAGTTTCACTTAACCACGTTACCGACAATCATTTAACCCTGACAGAGCTCTCTCACATCAGTTCCTGCACACTGCAAACAGACATCCTGTTTTCTTAAGCTAAAGTGGATAATCTAATGTTTTTAAGTGTTTAAGGATGACAGTGGTTAAAGTTAATTCAAAGTTGTACTTAGATTATTTACAAAATGTGTGCGGTTTGCTGCCAGTAAATGAGAACAATTTTCCCTTTTACTTTTCAGACTGGGAAAGATTTAACTTGATTTCTTTGAAATCGTGATTTATACATGACTAGTGTTTGAGTAGAAGGCAACTGGACTTTTTTGGTTTTTGAAGACGTTTCACTTCTTCAGTTCTTCTTCTAAAGATCTGAAGAAGCCTCTGGGATGAGAGATGAAACGCCTTCGAGATCCAGACAGAGAAGTCCAGTTGCCTTCTACTGAAGCTCTCACTATGACCTTGATGACTGAGTATCTGCACAGACAGACTAGTGAATACACCAGCAGCAGTGCCATGCAATGATGCTGAACCTTTGACACACAGAGCCCATGTGTTCAGTCTCAACGTTTATTGTTGTATACTGACGTGGGTTGTCAGTTAAAATGTGTTCAGGGTGCTCTGTGGAATGGCTCTGAGTAATTTATGCACAATTAATGGACTGAAATTAATAAAACCACGAGTGTAGTCTTTTATTATTGGTCGCAGGCAGCGTGAGCATGAATAATGAAAATCAGATGTTTGAAAGCACATTTTCTCCTATTTCATTTATTTTGATATGATTATGCAGAGCTTAGAAAGGCATCAACAGTTTAATAGCTTAGGAAAGCATGACCTCAACCAGGTGGTACTTACTGTAATAATAAGGTAGATGTATTTTAGTAGGTCAAGTGTACATTTGCATGTGTCATTTTTGTCTCTTCTGCATTTCGTGTTTATACTCATAGCGAAGGAGGAGGAAAGACTTCAGCTGTGAAGAGGTGCACTACCTACTGTCCGGAGTTGAGAAGTTTGGCTTCTCCTGGAACTCCATCTTGTGGTCTTATCCCTTCCAACCTGGACGCACCAATGTTGATCTGGCCAACAAATACAGGCGCCTAATGGTAATGAGAAAACCTTGAAATGAGTTTCCTAGATAACTGAAATTACACTGACATGCAATCTGAGATCTTATTTTCTTTCTTGTTTTGCCTTCAAAAATGCAGAACCCAGGATGCCGGCTGTGAAAAGTCATATTTCTGCGATCCTGGGCCAGCTTATTAATATATCAGCTATGTGGATTTATTTTCAGGACCCTCATTTTATCCAGTTTACAACACTGCACTCACTTTCAAGTGATCTATACAGTATATGCTCCATATACCAATATACTTGAGTGTTTGTTTGACTTTAGTACTTTGCATATGTTTGCAGTTTTTAAAATATTTTCTGCAACACATTTCTGTGCTTTGACAGGTATTGGGGATTGTTTGAGTTTCTGAAGTTGCACTGTCAACATTCTCCGTCAAGTACTTGATTCATGTGAACTGACTTTCAAACAGTGTTTGTATTTATACGTTCATGTTGCATAAAGTGTCATTTGACACTAAATCAAACAGTGTTGGGAGTTTTTGTAAAGCTAGATTGTTAAGTTAAAAGTTAAATTGTGCCAGATTGCATTAGAATGGGAACTAAGTTTACAACCTTTGAGAAATGTACATTTATTGATGTCCAGGTTTTGTTGCAGAAACACTCACTGCACATCTGCTGGATTTAACCGCAATAGCACAATGTGTTTGTGAGTTTTGGCTGTAAAGCAAACCAGCCTAAATGTTCTGACAACCATTTATACCAATTCTGTATCATAGCAGTTATTTGGCCATGTCAGAGTTGTTGTGTGCCAGTTTAGATAAAACTCAACAGTCAAAATGTCAGGAAATTTAGTCCAGTAAAAAAGAAAAAAAAGAGCATGGCCACATGTTATTTGACCCAAAGAATTCATGAAGAAGTCATATCCGTTTCCGCAGTTGCGAGCCAGAAAATACACTGAAGTTAACTTTGTGCTTTTTTAAAAAAAAACTGTTCTGATAAGAAGACATTTTGGGCAAAAAAGAACACTGCAAAGAAAAAAAAGGCATTTCTCACACTTTGCTTAGACCCTGATAAATATGTATTTGTGTACATATTTGTGTTATTTCCTTGACATACGGTGTCATGGAGGCAAATACCAAGTTCTGTTTTCTTTGTGTTTTTGCTTTGGCCATCGCAGTCCGTAGAGAAACAGGAAATCAACAAGGAGAGAGGGGACTCGAGTCCAGCACTGTTGTTTATTGAGCCGAAATCCTCTGGTATGACAGGAATCACAACTAGTGCAAATCATGCTGCTTATCTATTCTCGGTGTGCATCAAGAAGCAGCTCAGTCTGCAAACTGTATCCCTTACTAAGACTGAGCTTGACTGAGATCACTGTCTAAAGAGTGCCTCTCCCACTCTGTGGGGACTCATCAGTGTGTTGCCAAAACCATGGGACTTACCCATTTACCATGCCCTGAGGCGTAGGCTGCTGAACTTAGGTGTGTCTGGACAAGACACAATGTTTATTTGGGAGTTGGACTTGATGTGATTATGGAATTGGACAAGAGATAATGATTATTGTCTTTGTGAAATGGAGCAGCTTCACTTTGCACGTCTTGAGGGAAATGGTCCTGAAGTCCTTCCTTCATTAGGCTGTGTTCCTGTCAGACTGGCAAAACTAACAGTCACTGCTCAGTTTTCCCTTTGAGACCACTCATACCAGTTCGCTGACTACTTGGTCAAGATGTTGGGATAGCAATGCAGTGAGGGCAGGAGGAGTGTGGTGGGAGAGGCATGTGAGGAGCAGATTTCTCATGGACTGAAACGCAGTCACACTGAAGACTTTTGACCCAGGCCCCCCGAAAACCTCCTTCCTCTGGAAAGAATGTGGCCTGGTCTCTCTCCCCCCCTCCCCTCTGCTCCCTCCCCTCGCGTCCTCTCTCTCACGAGACTGTGAGAAGGCACTGTGTCTCTTACATGATCTGGGCTGTGCGAGCTAGAATTTGATTACCATGTGTACACTATGTTCCATACATGTCCTGGTACATGTAACAGCTCCGTCGTGGGCACTCGCTTTCATAAGCCAGCCAAGTGATCATTCTAAGTGATGGGAATCTGCAGCTACTGTCATGCCAGCTCGCCTCTGTCTATTCCCAGAATCTGCAACGTAAACTACCAATATTCTACCTCTTACTGTATATTCTTGTTGATAAAAAACAACAGGGAGCATAGTCATAACACATGTGGAATACCGTTTTTATTTTAACAAGCAAGCCACAACTTTTTTTCTTTTTCTTTTTTTTTTTTTTAAATCCCCTAATTGTATTTAAAACACCATAAGGTGACAAACACTCCTTTTAGAGGATTATTGCAAAGTCCAAACACAACAATATTAAGGCATATATGTTTATTGGACACTTGTATCCTGCCATTCAGTGGAATGCATATACTATCTTTACCTTAGGTTGCATTTTTGTCCCTCACCTGTTGTCCTTCATTAACCTATCAATGCTGCACATTCACAGATTCTCAGAAAGATTTCACTTTGTACTCGTCGCACTACCTTTTTGTGTTATTGTATAGCCCTGGAACGTATTTCCTCACCTCCCTACACGTGATTTTTTTTGCTTGGCAGATTTGCATAGAGGAAGATCTCTGACGTCTATCAATACACGTGACTACTTGTAGCCCCTGGAGCCCCTTTACCCCGCCCCCCACCCACCCCATCCCCACAACCACACTGTATAAGTGTATCAAAAACAAAAAAAAAAGTATGTAGTTTAATTTTTGTTTATATTGTTCCACAGCTCTTTTGGTACCTTTGGTTCACTGTAAAAAAGGAAATTGCTGTTTGCCTTAATTAGTGTACTAAAAATGAGAAAAAATATATAGATTTTTTTGTTTTTGGATCCATTTAGAATTCATGTAAAGGGTTAAAAAGGGTTTCACAGAAAAAGAAAAAAAAAACATCTATCCACTTCTTTCAATCGTCTTCGATGGATTCACATCAGCTCAGTGGATGTGCTCATGTCTATGATGGGAGTGTCGTCGGGGATCTTGACATCGCTTGGAATGAGGTCATTGACAAGGTCATTTCCCTTCAGCTCTAAGTTCTTTAGGATTTCACAAACGCTTTCCTCGTTGACATCACTCCCGAGCTTCTCCAAACACTCTGCCGGCTCCACCTCCACCAGCTTTTCCAGAGGTTCTGATGTTTCTGCAGGCTGCTCTGGCTCCAATGTGGAACTCTCGGCAACCTCGACGCTGTCTTGGCACTGCTCGCCGGCTGGGACATCCGCTGGCTCGTCTGTAGCGACGGGGATGGGAGCTGGGGAAGGAGTGACATCGGGGACAGCAAAGTCGATCAAAGGGGGTGAAGAAAGCGCTGGCTCTGGGAGAGACTCTTGGGAAAGCAGGTCTGTCTGCTGCTCTACAGCCTCAGCTGGGGCTGGTTCTGGTTCCGGGATGGCCTCAGGGACTGGCTCAACGTCTGCCTCTGGAACTGGGGCAGACTCTGGAGCTGGGGCAGACTCTGGCTCGGGGACAGGCTCTGGAGCAGGGGCAGACTCTGGCTCAGGGACAGGCTCTGGAGCAGGGGCAGACTCTGGCTCGGGGACAGGCTCCGGCTCTGGGGCTGGTTCTGGGGCAGGCGGGGCTTCAACAACAGGTTCTGGCTCTGGAGGTGTTGGTTTGCTCTCTATGACCAGAGGTTCCGGTTGGACTGGAGCTGGGGTTTCCTTTACGACAGGCTCTGGTTCATTTACTGGGGCTGGGGCAGCAGGAGCTTCCACCTCCTTACACTCTGATGCACATTCTTCAGTGGGTAAACACGCCGCCACTGTCACCTGCTCCCCCACCACCACGTCCAGGTTCTCCGTCACCTCCTGAGTCTGTGTTGCTGCAGAGTCTTCTGCTGGCGGAGCAGCTGCCGGCTCCTCTGCAGCCTTCTGCTCAGTGGCCACAGCTTCAGCGCTGGTCACTGGGACATCTCGCCTTCTGCTGAACCTGTTTCCCATGATGAACCTGGAGAGAAAAAAAAATGAGAATAAAATCACTTAAAATAATTAAATGTCAAAATGTAAGCTGCAAAAATAAAAAATTATTGGACCTAATATAAAAAAAATAGACCCTGTTGTTGCAGGTAGGGTCTGTTAAATTGGATTTAATGTATAAATTCATTTGTATGGAATTGCTCAGGGTTTTAAAATTAACTAAAAAAATAAAGAGAGAAGCATTCCTTTAGTTGTCACGTTAAATTTAACTGGTTGAGCAACAGTATTCCACTTTCTGTCTTATGGTACATTATGTTCTCCCTTCCCAGAGCTGCATGTACAGCATGTGCTATAGTTTGGAGAGACGAGCTTGTCACAGAGCTGAATATTTACGCAGCGCCTGAGGACAGCTTCAAGCACTTGTCTGATTAATTCGTGCTTGACTTTTACACTGCATTACACAGGAAATTAATTCCCCCAGAAACAAGTTCGGGACGAGTCTAAACGTGCGCACAGAAAGACGAGGAAAAAAAAACAAAAAACATTTATCATGTCATTACTTTACAGCCTCCCTCAAGGACAAATTATAGTTTGTAGTCGGATTTGGTTTCTACTTTTTTAATTATTCTGTTAAAGAACCACACCTTGTTCCAGCTGCGCCTCTCAGAACAACGGATCCGCAGAGCCACATGCGATTTAAATACAGTTTTCATAGGCTAATTAACATGATGGCAGGAAACGAGTACTGATAATTATCAATGCAAACAATAGCGGTGAGATAATAGTGATCAATTGCCAGTGAAAACAAAGCGAACAAAGAAAGTCTTGCAGACGACCCCGCCTCCCTGTCGTCCCTGAACAAACTGTTAAAACTATCAAAAGTGGACAGAAGTGGGGAAAAAATCAGAAGAAAAGAAGGAAAAAAAAACAGCTCCGGTTATAACATGCAGTTAACAATATGCTAAAGTAACAAATGCTTAACAAACCTTTTTTGAGTCTGTTTTTTGTGTAGCGGTTAAAGCAGATAAAGTTGCAGAAGATCTCGCACTCTCAGCTTTGGAGGAGTCCGCACGTCAAACTGTCTATTAAAGCGCGCTCCGCCGCGGCACGCTCCTGCTCAGAGCTGCTGCGCGTCCGCGATTGATGCGCGCACCACGTGTCCAGTGTACATTGCGATGGTTTGTTTAGCGGATTAAAGCTCACAGGAGGAGACGCAAAAAAACACGTCGCACGGCTTCAAGCTGCCAGTTTAGCTACGGTGTTGAGGGGGAAAAAAATGATTTTATGGTTTTTAAAACTGGAAAATTGTGGTTTAAAAATGAAATATCTGAACCCACCCACATAATTATAGCTTCAGTCATCCAAACGTGGCCCAGCCTTCATTAGCAATTTGTTGTTGTTGTTGTTGCTGTCCTGTTTTACCTGTTTTTGTCAATCACTGCTTTTTTTATGTAATAAAAAAAAGGATAACTATTTATTTATTTAATACAGTCGTCCTCAAATGTATTCATACCCTCCCATTAAATAAATAATAACAAAAAAAAACCAGCTGTCACTGAAATAAGTTGAAATTGACAAAAGTAATAATAAATAAAAATGGAATGAAATCGTGGCATTGCTTTTGAATTATGGTTCAACAGAAATATAAATAAAATTAAATTAAATTAAATTAAATTAAATTAAATTAAATTAAATTAAATTAAATTAAATTAAAAACAAACATGATGAGACCCTTAAACTAATACTTTGTTGAATAACCCTTTTAATCAATCACTGCAATCAAGTGTTTTCAGTAACTCTCAGTCAGACTTCTGCATCTGTGGACAGGTATTTTGATTTTGGCCCACTGCTCATCAGCAAAGACCTCTAATTTGTCCAGGACATTTTTTTTCTTCTATTTTTTAAAATTATTATTTTTTCAACCACAATTCAAAAGCAGCGTCTTATTTCACTTAAGTATAATTTAGCAAATTTGTATTTATTATTACTTTTTTCAGTTTCTAGTTATTTGAGTTACTATTGTAAATTTTGCCTTTTCTTTAATGGGAGGGTATGAATACATTTGAGGACGTCTGTACATGTAGGTTCCAGGCGTCCCACTTTGTTTCACATTTTTGCCGCAATAAATCATGTTTTAAAAAATGAAAATAACGCAACAAAAACTACGATTTTTCAACACTTCCTGATGCCACAGCTCTGTTTAAATCTAGCAGTAAAAAGTTCAGACGCAGTGCGCCACCTGCTGGTCAGTAGTTGTAAATGCGGTGTTTTTTTTAAATTTCTGTATTGCACTGTTTTTAACTTATACCTGTCCAAACTGAGCCGATCCTCTCTCTCTCTATTTATATATTTTTCAAACTACTTATGACGCTTTATAATCCAATTTTATTTTTCTCCTAGAAGGCTGACACATTTTTTTTCATAATTACTCAGTCAGCTGCAGGCAAAGAAGGAACCAGGACACTCGTGTTTTAAAGGTGAACCTGTGATAATTATTGACAGAAAGCAGTTCACTCATTTTGCACTTACAAAATGAAACAGATTTCTCCTGCTGTCTGTTTGCAGGACGAGGATGATTCATGATTGTTTTTTTTTGAACACTCATAACGAAACTGTAAGTCGCTTGTGTCACTTTTGCTTCTAGATGTTATCTAATAAAAACAAAAAGGGCACACGGAGCCTGGGTTTAAATTGATCCCAGACGTCTCAAAATAACCACCAGTGGATCTTATGACACCGAAAACTGCACTTTAAAAGGAAAGCTGGAGGATCTTAGTGCGTAAGTGTTGATCATGTCAGGGTGGTGAACGACCTAATCAGCTGATCTTTGTTTAGCATTCACCCGTGACACATTCGCCATACCATCGCTCTGTTCCGGAGACAAGTTGAAAGCTTTCTCTTTTCAAGGCTGATTTCTGAAGCTCGCTGCTGATATCAAGGTAGATCATGTAGAAATATTCAATTTGTACACTACTCTGTAGATTAAATGCTTATTTTTTCTGGATTTTTGTGTACTGATTGCTATCAACGTGACCGTTAAATCTACAGATCCTCTTGATGGCTGCTGTCTGTGTCAGGACTGCTACATGGAGCTCTGTTTGGATCTCTGTCCTTCTCCTGCTCATCCTCCTGCAGATGTTGATCTCCCTGCAGCTTTTTGCTGGTGTCTTCGTCCACTCCGATGAAGTCCTCATCAGCCCTTTGTTCTTCTGTCGAACACCTGAACCTGGTGAACTGTCCTGCATCAGCTGGTCCAGGATCCATCTCGATGGAGCTGGATCTGGCATGAGTGTCCTCCAAACACTGGTTCTCCTGAGTTTTTATGTTCCAGTGGTGCTTGTTGCCTTTGGCCTGCTGGCCATGCTGTTGGCAGCCTATTCCAAAGACGAAGCAGCACGTTGGTGGAGCTTGGCCTGCCAGGCGGCCTCAAGCCTCCTCACTCTGGCTGGTATTGTTCTTTTTTTGGTGCTCTATCAGTCCTATGTGAGCCGGAAGGACGTGACCGTTTGGTTCTACGTCTGTGTCGGGGTGCAGGTGGAGCTGCTTGTCACATCTGTGCTGACCTATGCATCAAGGAGAAAGTCAGAACCCGACTTGGTATAGACGCGTCCCTTCTGCCCCTGCTTCAGCACAACCACAGGAACCCCAAGGGGAAACATTTTATTTCTGTAAATATTCTTTCAAAAAAAAAAATCATCATCAGTCTGTTTTCTGTGATATTTAGACGTTTTGAAAACCTTGCTTATGTTACTTGTAGATTGTAATTTTTTAATGTGTAACTCATTGCAGCTGCTAGAATTCTGACAAACACGAGAAAGACGGCAGATTCTTAAATTCTTGTGTTGGCTTCCGTTTATATAGAACTGAATTTGAGAGCCTCATGAATGGCCTGGGGGTCAGAATACATTGAAGATGTGTTTGTTGAGTAAAACCCAGGAAGGTCTCAAAGTATGGTTACAACTGCCTGTATTCTTATTCAACTTGTCTACAGTTTTGTTCACCAAATTGCACATTTCCATGTTCCATTTCAATATTTTTATAAAAACATACATGCACTTTACCGAACCTGTTTGTGCTGTTCTTGCTTTATCTTTTCCATTTTTTAACCTTTGCCTGGTTTATGAGTAAAGCTGCTGAAGAGTTAGATAATAGAGCCAGATGCATTCTGGGTAATAGAGTCCAATCTGGCAGCTGCTCCAGTTTCAAAAAATACAATCTATGTCACAACAGCTGTTTCCTTTTTTTAATGACCTGATAAAAGAATAACTTCAAGTGAATATTCAGTGAACTCACACACACATAGAAGCATGTTTAATATGAATGTACGTCTTTAATCTGATGAGGAATTTATGTGTTTTTCCCCATGAAGAGACGCCACAGGAGCAGCTATGATGTGGGGCTGTCGGCTTCACATTCACAAGTTGACTTATCTCAACAAGAAAGAGTGTTTCCTGTTTTCAGTGACATGTTGTCAGAACTCTCACAATTTAATGTTAAATCAAACAAAAACTGCTAACGTTGTGCTACAGTGAGGTGATAATGAGATGTAATAGCTCCATTAAAACTGGAGCCTTCATCAAGCCTCATGTAAGATGATTAAATTGCACCCAAAAAAAAGTCATTAAATGGAGGACATCTGCATTTACGCCTCATTTCAATGCAAAAGTGTTGAATTATTGGTACCAGTCTTTATATCCTCCGCCTGTGGAGCTCTGCCAAGTTTTACATCCCAGCGATGTCAAGTGTTACTAGAGTTTTTAATTTAGTACAACACTTTAAAAACTAAGTGGACACGATCAAAACATCAATCATCAGGTGAAGAAAATTTCCCGGACCAGCCGCAAGGCGTCGTCTTCCCGAGGCTGCTCCGTTCTTCTCTCAGCCTCCGGATCAACGGTCGTTACGTCCTGAGCTGGTTTTGACCTCTGACCCTCGGATGCAGGACGCTGCAGACTCATGGTGTACGGCACTGTTTCCACCTCTGTAATGTCCAAGTCTGTTTCTGAAACATACGTCATGTCCAGGTCTGAGGACTTCTCTTCTAAAGGCTCTGCTGTGGTCTGTGGAGTGGCAGGTTTCCTCCTCTTCGTCTCTCTGGTGTCCGCGGCCTTATGTTCAACCTGTGGGGGAGGATCGAATACATTTTAGGCAACGTTTGAGGAAACAAGCGGCATTTTCTGTGCCCTACAAAACTAACACAAGATGTATTATTTGACATCATCAAACTTTATTTAAAAGTCTGAGCTGATCATCTGGTGGCAAACTCCAGCCCACTGACATATTCCACGCCTTCGTCAGGCGTGGCTTTAAAGGACGATGACCAGACTGCACACAGACCTTTGACCAACGACTATAAAAAGCTGCCTTTAAATGCCGCTTTACTCAAATGACACGATGCCACAGATGACAAGAGAATGACATGCTGTTGGCACCCTGGATGCTGGTATGTCAGAATGTTCGCAACTCCACCATTTGTCATCTCTGAAATCAGTTCAGACAGTACGCTATGACAAGCCATCTGCCGCATGATGCTTTGGATAGATGAGTCCACCAATGTCTCCCAAAATGTCCACCAGCCTCTCCGAGTCCTTCAGGAGGAACGGCACGACAATAAACAAGCAGCGTCGACAACCTCATTGACTCTGTGCGTCGCTGATGTGTGGCTTGTTACTGACTTGTGGTTTCTAGTCTTTGACCTCACTCTCTATCTGCACACTATCATTCACATGCTTCATGACGTTCTTTCTGTTGTTGAGACGCCTTGTGTGGGAACGACAAACACTTACTGCCCTTGTGTTAAAGAGAATTTGCTAGTATAAATGACTAGATTTAAAGAAATATTTTTTCATTCTCCGATTTTTGTACAAGGCAAGAACTGGATAGAATTTCTGGAAAATGCAATTTTAACAGAAGGCAATAATAAATACTTTAGAAGCATTTCAGCTGCTACTTCATTATCAGAAGCAGAGATGGAGCATGACAGTAAATGAAAATGCAAATGAAACGAGAAACAGAAAAGAAAAAGATTTAAAAAGGAGGAAACTAGAGACTTAATAGAACCTAAACATCAAGGTGTGTCATCCTGAGGCTCATATCAATAAATACATTTAAAAAAATCACATTAAACAGATGATGACTGTACAGTTGTTCACAATCCAACTTTTCCAACTTGTTGCAGTAAATCTTTCAATTCTGAAGGAATTCCAGGGCTCCTCTTGGTGGCACTTAAAATCTGTGATAGAAAATCTACATATTTATATGTTTTGGGGAAAAAATAAACAAATATAGTTGATCTTTACATATATATCATAAATGACATTGGTTATGAGGAGAATTTCTGTACCTTTTGTGAATGTGAGATTGAGACGGTTGATCGCTTGTTTTTTGACTGTATATATAGACTTTCACTCCTGGTGCTCATCTAAATTTGAATCTCTGCTCCATTTGGACAAAATTAATGTCTTATTTGGTGTAGTCATGGCTGGCAGCTTGTAAGATGTGGCCGTTAATGTTTTGCTAATGCTGGGGACACAACAATAAATATATAAAGACCAAACCAAATTTCTACATTTGTTTTTACTTTAAATCGCTTAAATTTATGAAGAGAAAAAATGGTATAAAATTTAAATAATTTTGTAAAAGAATGTAAACTTAGCAAAACTCCTAGTTTATATGTAATTTATGTTTTCTGTTGGGTTTTTTTTTTGTTTTGTTTTTGTCCCCCCTCCTCCCACATTTTCTTTTTGGTTTATTTTCTGGTGTTTTTTTTAAACATTATTTTTAAATTGTATCATTACTGCTATTTGTTGCACTGGTTTTGAATTGTCAATAAACTTGGTTTGGGAAAAAAAAAACAATAATAAATCAAAAATAATTAAAAAAAAACATCCTAAATGGCATGCTTTCATTGTTATATTTTACGTCCGGAGCAGTTTTTTTTTCTTCTCCCCTCAGCATGTAAACGTTTGCAGATAAAGAGAGAAGCAGCGCCACCTGCTGGTCAGTCCGGAGCGCCGCATCCTCTCCGCTGGTAAGAAAACAAACGGCTGCTTCCACCAGCTCCTCCTCGTTCATACAGTAGAAAGCAGACCTGCAGACACACCACAGCACATTATTAAACCAGGAAGACTTCAGGTGAAGCAGAAACCCGACTATCTCCGGTGTCTTCCGTTTCCTACCTCGCACTGTTCCGCTTCCTCCTGCTCTTCAGCGGCTCCTTCTCCTTTTTCTCCTCCTTCCTCTCCATCCACGCAGGCAGCGCCCTGCGTTTCTCCCACATGTTGCCTTTTACGACCTCACATCACTTCTGAACCTGCAGCACGTTTGTGTCCAAAACTGCGGTGAACGTGAAACAAAGAGGAGGTTTGGTGTTTTGGTGGAGTCACGTGGTCACGGTGGTGCCTTCAGCGACACTTAGCGGACAAACACTAGAATAAAAACAACAAACTGCTAAAGAACACGCTTCTATCTCCAACGTATGATCCATAAACGACAGCTTCTTTTGTAACAAGGCTATTCAGCTGTAACGTTGTGAAGCAGAGGGGCACTAGGACCCAGAGCAGCTCACCTGTGAAGAGACACCTGCAGCTCAGGTGAGTCA